ATTATAAGTGAACAAAATTTTCAGTACTATTATTTGTTATTTTTATTAGCACATTATGCTACTTCCATTATAGTTTTTAAATCTATTGCGAAGGTTATATACATAGTACTGATCGCGAACAGATTGCTTTCGTTGATCTTAAAAACAGTATAATATTCAAAAAGATTTATATACTATTCAAGTTAGAATCAAATCTAATAATTGTATCTATTCTTTTTTCTGTTATTTTTAATAAATTTGTAAAGTGTAAGTGCAATTTAAATTTTAATTATGGAATTTAAACGGCCCGATAATCCTAGCCGCTGCACATGGGAAATAAATGCAACAAATTCACCACATACATGTAGGATGGAGTAAGTCTGCAAAAAAATATGAATGAATAAAATAAATTTAACAATATTATTTATTGTACCTTTTTATATTTTACAATATAATACAAAAGTGTTATTAAAATACAAATGACGAATACAACAATTACATTATAAACATTTTATTTTATTTCATTTGTTAATGTAAGATATACTTCTTAGTTAAAAGATTCTCAATATATTTTTTTTATTATAAAAAGTTGAAGAAAATTGATGTTTTTACAAATATTTTCAATTTAAAAAATTTAAAGAAGGAAACACTAAGTAATGTAAAAACAAATGCTCTCTATAAAAATTTTCAAAATCCTATATAATAAATATTATTTTCTAATGTAGCTTTAAATATTTCAATTTTTATTTTGTGAAATAATAATGAACAGAATATTTTAAAAGTCAAAGATAATTGGTATTATAATTGTAAAAGTAAGTAATAAAATCAGAAACCAAACTGATGAAAAATGAAAGAAAATATAAAAGTATCTATTAAATATATTATCATTGAATTAAATTTCTAATACTCAAAATATATAATATTGTTACTCACACTGTAAGATCAATTTGTAATACTTCTCATGGTTTTTATTAATTTAATATATATTTTCTTCAATAATTTATTGTTATGATTTTTATTTCAGAAATGCTGATCTTAATAACATAATGCCTGATATATTAACTGCTATAGGACAAACTCCACTTATAAAAATGAACAATATTCCTAAATCTTATGGAATTAAATGTGAAATGTGTTAGTATTAATTTTATTAATTTAATTTGTTGCTTGTGATTTTTATATGATAAATAAAACTTTATTTCTAGATGTAAAATGTGAATTCCTTAATCCTGGTGGTTCTGTAAAAGACAGAATTGCATATAGAATGATTCAAGATGCAGAAGAGAGTGGTTTGCTAAAACCAGGATACACCATCATTGAACCTACAAGTGGAAACACTGGAATTGGTTTAGCAATGGCTGCTGCAGTTAGAGGCTACAGATGTATTATTGTTATACCAGAAAAAATGTCTGATGAGAAGATATCTACACTTCGTGCACTTGGTGCTGAAATTGTTCGAACCCCAACAGAAGCAAGTTGGGATAGTCCAGAGGCACACATTAATGTTGCACAAAAATTACAAAAGGAGATACCAAATAGTATTATTCTTGACCAGGTAATATTTCATATATGTTAATATTAAGTAATTTTATTATTTATTTACTATGCTATTATATGTTTAGTATACTAACCCTGGAAATCCATTGGCTCACTATGATAAAACTGCAACTGAAATTTGGAGGCAATGTGAGGGAAAAATAGATTATTTAATAGCTGGTGCTGGTACAGGTGGCACTATTTCTGGTATTGGGAGAAAACTGAAAGAATTATCACCAGATGTACAGATTGTTGCTGTAGATCCTAAAGGAAGTATTTTAGATCCATCAACTGAATCACAAGATGAAATTGGCTTTTATGAAGTAGAAGGGATTGGGTAAAGAACCTATTTCTGTTATATTTTATATTTCAAATATAATTTTGTCTCATATTTTAAATAAACAATAAAATTATTTTTAGGTATGATTTTATACCAACAGTGTTAGATCGTAGTGTAATTGATAAATGGATAAAAACTGAAGATTGTGAATCATTAAATGCTGCTAAAATGCTCATAAGTCAGGAAGGTTTACTATGTGGTGGTAGTAGTGGAGCTGCACTTGTGGCTGCACTTAAAATAGCTAAAGATCTTCCTGAAGGAAAACGTATTGTTATTATTTTACCTGATGGAATACGAAATTACATGACTAAATTCGTATCTGACCACTGGATGGAAATTAGAGAATTTTTGGTAAATTATTGTTCCATTGTATAAAAATTATATACCCTTTTATTACAAATTTAAAAAGTGAATTATTATGAAAAATTACAGGAACCTAGATGTCAAATTGAAACAAATAAATGGTGGTGGAACCTGCAAGTTTCAAAGTTATCTTTTGAAAAAGTATCTTTGTTAAAAGAAAATACAGTAACATATCAGGAAGCCATTCATTTACTTAAAAACACAGATTGCTATGTATTAGTTATTGGTGATAATGACCTACATGTAAAAGGTGTTATTACTTTGAACAAAATTATGTCAAATATAATATCTGGTGCAGTAAGCTACACAGATTTTGTGGAACATGCTATGGCTAAACAATATATCAAAGTTAAACTTTCTACAACTCTTGGCCAACTAGCACGTATCCTTGAGAAAGAGTCATATGCAATAATTTTAGATGAAAAACGTAATAATGCTTTTGTTGGAATCGTAAATCAATTTCACATTCTGAACTTTATTACTGAAAATAATGGTGCAAAAACAACTAATAATTCTTTAACAAGTTGAAACTTTTAAAACTAAAATACAATTCTTAAATCATGTATAAAATTATTTTAATACATTATACTGCTGTAACTATATTTGTAGTATATTATAATTTTATTACATTTTATTGTTTGTATAAGAAAATGGAACTACATTACAACT